CTCTTCAAATTATATATTCTTGTGAGCTACTCAACCTGTGTCAGCCTCTGCCTTTGATCCTTTGGCAACATTAGTAAAAGATAGAGGCGTTGTGTCAGATGACATTATGCTGTACTAAATGCAATTGTCCTAAAAGATTCTTACGTTTTATGGCTGAGGCACCTACTCCAAGCTATAAAAGGTGGATTTGGGGTAGGGAGAGTCCTGACTAGAGTTTACATTAATGAAATAATTTTTCTTATTTAAATTGCAATAAAATTGAAAAAAATCTAGTTTCTTTTGCCTTAGCATTGATGTTTAGGACAATGAGGGATGTTTATTATTCTATGTTCTTTTTTAAAAAAAATACAAGCTTGATGGATAAAATGGCGACATCACTTTGGATTTTTTGTGAAACTCTGATAGGAATTAATATTTTAATAACATGTTCTTCAAAGGAAAATTCACTTTAATGGATCTCTTTCTACTAAACATGATTTATTTCTTCTGCAAATGAGAGAAGATTGGAGGATCACTATGGTCCATTACATCATTTTCAACCTAGGTTCTCTACATTTATTTATCTAGATTACAAGGACAGAAATGCAGCTATTTTATTTTCCATTAAGGAATGTCTGGGTAGAAAATGCTTATCATGATGATTTCATTCTGCTGTGACAAAAAGTAATTCTTAGCCACTACTGGTCAATCTTTAAGGAAGACATGGAATTATTAGAGGTTTACATAGTTGTATTATCTACTCTTGATGGTTTTGAAAAAGAACTTTAGGAAAAGATAAAAAGTCATCACTGAGAGGTTTAATCATGCAATAATAATTAAACTCCTTCCTGTTAGAATTTAAAATATTCCTTCAAGCTCCTTACTGATGTTAGAAGAAATTGTCAAGTCTTTGGATCCTTGAGATGACATATTATTCTAAAATGTTCAGGTTGTATTTTCATTAGCGGAGTTACCATTTCATCTTGACCTGCACTTTGTAGAGAACAGCTCTTTCTGAATGAAGATAGCCCATTATGGACCTTTGCCGTCTTAATGATGTTTCCCCTATCTTTCTAGTAATGTGGAATGTATAAAACTCTTGCAGAGCAGCGGAGCGGATTTCCATAGAAAGGACAAGTGTGGGAGGTATGTAATCAGGAGCTCTGTTTCAAGTGCCTGAATTCAAGAGGGGGGAGCGGTCCCTCAGGAAATCATGTTACCTTGAAATGCTAACCAGGGAAACTAGCAAGATTCCATCCCCAGTAGCAAAACATCCCCTGGCAGAGTCACTGTGAAAAGACCTCCTCTCACAGCTGCTGATTAGGAATGCCAATTATTTCTCTTCTTCATCCCCCCCCCCTTTTTACCTCCTACATAAACGTGGTTTAGAAAATCCCCCTTTTTACCTCCTACATAAACGTGGTTTAGAAAATTCTGTTTGTGAGACAATAGAACCCTTCAGCCCACCCCACATCCCCAAATCTGGCAACATCTGGCAACATCTAGTATCTTTGTGGAATATTTTTATCTTGGGATACATTTTTAGACGTGTTTAAATCATTAAAAAAAAATACTCAATAGTCCTTTATCTATTATGATGGGCCGTAGAAATTGTCTAACCTTGATTGTCCTCTGCCTAGCTAGTAAATGGACAGACACACAGACACAGACACGTGAACGTTTTCTCCCATAATATTTTCCATTCCTCCTACCTGTTGTCTCAGCAATTTGACGCATCCTCTAGACACTCCCTAGTCTCCTTTTCCTAGGTGAAGAATTGAACCAGATGGGGATTCAAAAATGCAAGAAAGAGAGGAAGAAGGAGTGTGCTTCGCAGAGCTTAGCAGTAAAAAGGAAAACAAGTTAGGGATTTGAATGAAAAGCTAGAGAGTGTATTAAGCACAATACATTCCATAGGTGAATCGGTTACCCTCTTCCAAGTGGAAAGGATCCTGTGGAGTTTCAGGGTCCTGGTCTTTATAGAACTTGAGAAAATATATGTAGACTACAGGAGTGATACTCTTGCATTGGTGCTAAATATTCATCTGTCCCTTGGAGGAAATTAGTACAGGATAACCAATGCTTTGACATATGATTTGCTAGGTCCCAACATGGCACTCTCCATGGTGATTGTCATGGTGCCAGTAGAAGTGATTTTTAATACTGTTATGAGGAAAAGGCCATTTTAGAAAATTCTACCTGTTTTTCTGCACCTTTCGAGAAGCCCTTCAGTTATAAGGTTTATTGTCTAAACAATCATTCACTCTGCCTCTTTTTCTCTGGTATAAATAATGTCTTCAGCTTTGGCCTAATAATCTTTCTTGGATGGTGGTGAGAAACTGGTTCTTATCTCTGCTCCCTACCCCCTCATTCTGTTGGATTATCCTCATGTCTGGCCTCCTAACTCTAGTAGTCCTAACATACCTCCTGCCTACTTGCATTCTGGCTCTTTGGTGTTTCCCTATTTCTTCTCTAAATTACCAATTTAAGACATTTAAGACAACTTCTACTGATCCTTCAAGACTCAGGTCAGGAGTCACCCCTTACTGTGATCTGGATTCTCGTCTCTGCTCTAGTCTAATGCACTCTATTTTCTGTTATTGCTGCCTTCATCACTCCCTCTTCTCACGCTCTCTCCCCTCATTTAACTGAAGTCTCTTGGGGATAAGGACTGAGTTTCTCTGTCTCTAGGCCAATCACACGGCTGACACCTAATTATGTTCAGCCCAATTCATTAAAACTTCAGCAATACAATATGTAAAATTTTTATAATTTCCTTCTTTTAGACTGAATAGTGGAGAAAACAACTGATAAAAGAACCTATATAGAAGTAGATGTACTTGGAAGTCATAAATGAATAATTTTTGAAATAAAATTACTTTATTTTTAGTATTTAACTTGGTTATTTGAAATAAAACCCCAAACCCATTGTCAACTCTGATTCTTGAGTATTTGCTAAACCAAAACCCATGGTCATCTGCCTGGTTCATACCCATGGAGACCCACAGCACAGAGTAGAACTGTCCCATTGGGTTTCCTAGGCATATGACCTTACAGAAGCCCACTGCTGTATCTCCCTCCCTTGACGTTTTGATTAGGACCTGAATGCCTTAACCATGGGGTCCTTAGAGCTCTTTGAACATTGGTTTAAATATATCAGAAAAACCTGAAAGTAATTGAGGACTGAAAATACTAAAAAATTAAGTAACATAAAACAAATTACTTCAGATTTCCTCAGTGCCTTACAAAAAGTATTTGTTCTATTATTTCTTCACCTTCTAGTAAACCTATGAGATGACCAAAGGAATATAATTAAACCTGTTTAATGGATGAGGACACTCGTTCCAGACAAACTAAACTAAAAATTTCTACAATACACAAAAGTTTAGACCTAGAAGGGTCAGCTGTGTAGATGTCATTCCGCACCCAGAGATGGGACACTGTTTTGTTCTGTTTACACATACTTTGGACATGTTGTAAGGAGAGACCAGTCCTTGGAGAAGGGCATCATGCTTGGGAGGGTGGAGGGACAGCACAGGAAAGGAAGGCCCTCTATGAGATGGATTGATTAAGTGACTGAGGTAATCAAGATGGGTGTATCAGAGACAGTGAGATTGGCACAGCACAAAGCACAGTTTAGGGCTTTTGTACATAGGGTCGCTATGAGTCGCAAGTGATTCGACGGCACATAACAACAACAACAAATCCCAGGTCTCCTTATCCCATCTGCCTTGTTCTCTCTATTAACCTGCATCTCTGTCCTGAGGGACTTTCTAGTTTAGTGGGGAAGATAAGACAATAACTAAATCTAGACCATTAACTAAAATCTAGACTGTGTGTAATGATAACCCCCAAGACAGACAAGAAGCAATTTCAGATGAGAGAGAGAGAGAGAGAATATGGAATATAAATTGCAAGGACATAAAGATGAGGTAAATTTTGACGAGCGGAACTCTTTAAGGAAGGTGCACTCCTGGAGAAGCAGTGTGGGCAGAGAAGTGTCGATGTGACTGGACCTCCCTCAGATTGTTTGGACATAGCAGTTGGGTATATCAGGGACGGGGATACCATCTGTAAAAGTAGATGAAAGCTAAGAAATTAATGCTTTGGTCAGCTGAGAGCCGGTGAAGATTTGATGATGGGTTAGGGAGAAGGGAAAGGGAGGGTGCAGCCAGGATTTGATGAGAGGTTGTAATAAATAACATTGATCAATTTTTTTAAAAAAGTGTTTGAAATCAATGTTGTCATATGCAGGGACTAGATTTTAGAGAAGAAGCTCTGGGGGCACAGTGGTTCAAGTAATTGCTGTGACCAGAAGGTCAGCAGTTCATGCTCACCAATTGCTCCTAGGGAGAAAGATGTGGCAGTGGGCGTCTGTGACGATTAAAGCCTGGAAAACCCAAAAGGCAATTCTAACCTGTCCTGTAGGGTCGCTGTGGGTAGGAATCAAACTTCACAGCATAGGTTTGGTTTGAGTGGGTGTCTTTTAAAAAACCAACCCAGCTTTTTTAAAAAGAAAATTATTTTATTTTATCTTATTTCTTCTTTTTTTTTATTAGTCTCTTTTCATTCTTTCATTTTATTCTTTCTTTGTGTGTGTACTGTCAAATTGGATCTGACTGGTACAGGAGGAGATTGCCCCGCCTTCTCCAGCAGATCATCTCGTGGATTTGAACCACATACCTCAGGGATTGCAGTGCGGTTTCTTGCTACTAGGCTACCAGAGCTCCCTTCCAACTTTTTAATATCACATGAAAGAAGCCAATGAAGATATTGAAATAGTCCACAAAGCCCAATAGCATAGGCCTGAACAAGGTGGGCACCAGGAGTACAGAGAAGCATAGATCCAGGAGTGCATGGCCTTGCCACTCTCATGCCAAGCTAGCCAGTGACAGGGAGGCATTTGCACCGTGAGAGCAGAAGAACCTTCTAGACTCCTGGGAATAATGCTGACAGGCTTTATGCCAGTGAGGAGTCTGCCTTTCAGATGGAATGATGTCATAGATTGCTGTTTGTTTTCCAGGACCCCTTTGCATTACGCATCGGCAAATTGTCATTTCCACTGTATTGAGACGTTAGTGACCACAGGAGCCAATGTTAATGAAACCGATGATTGGGGACGGACAGCTTTGCACTATGCTGCTGCGTCAGACATGGACAGAAAGTAAGCATGACCTGCTTGTGCTGCTTCTCAGACTGAGGGAGGGTGGGGAGCTTTGTTAAGTTTCCTCCTAACTTCCTCCGTGGAGACTGATAAGAAGCGCTTTCACCCAGAGCAAAAGGCTTTTGAATTGCTTCATCTCTAACCTTAGTTTTCTCATCCTCCTCCCTTTCTGTTTGATTATTACATGTCACTGCACAATTATTTCTCTGTTCTCTGGGTTGGACGCCAAGTAGAGCTGTCAAACCCTGGTGTTCAGTTTGTCCAGCTCTGTTGTGAATAATTTCGACATACAGTGCAGTTTTTAATCATTAATACATAAATGCTTCATTTGCTGGAAAACTTAACATTTGTTACTGTATATACCAGCACTAAAAAACCATATACCATGCATAAACTCTTCCAGTGTGCATTAAATAATTGCTATTGAAGAACTTGGGGCATGAATGCTCTTTCTCAGCAGTGGGAAGAGAGGATGTTGATTGCTCTGGACATATCTGGATTTTTAAGTAGCTGGAAAAAGAGAAGCAGAAATAAGTTAACTAGCTCAAGGGGAAAAATGTAAGTGAAGTATACTCAGTTGGTGAGATTATTCTCACAGGCTTAAGGCTCAAGGCCTCCTTCGAAGGAATGCTTTTAGGTGATCCTGTTTGGGGAACTATTGAGATATTTCCACCTCGTGTTGCAGGATTGATTTTAGGCCAGTGCTAACTGCTTATCCCATATGGCAATGGCTTCCAAACATTTCACATGCCGATTCCCAGTAAGAAATCTATTTTACATCATGGCATATCTATATATTATACATGAGTATGCAACACTATAACAAAAATTTAATGAAACCTTATTTATCTTTACCATGTGTGATGTTTAAGAAACAAAACTGTTGACTGCAGCTTGCTAAATTGATTTTGCAATTCAATAATGGATTATGGTTCATAGTTTCAGAAAACATAGCTCATTTTCCCCTTCATGTTTATATAATATCTTTAAGCTAGTGATAGCCCTCAGAATCCCACAGTTATAGGTAGATTATTAGCATGAAAAATACGTAGCCTATGCTTTGTGTCCAGCTCGGTGCTATTCACTTGAGTTGTAATAGGAGTAGAGGAAGCAGGGGAAGTAAGTGTGTTGCTTCTGCTAAAAGCTGGGGGGTGTGGGGGGGGAGTATATTGAATGGTGAATTGTAGCAGATGAGGATTAATTCAGGCCCCATCTCATATAACTGAGATGCTGAACTGGTGATCAGGCAGCCAGGACTACAGTAGTTCAGAGAAGTCTAAGTAAGGTCACATCCCTTTCACCTGGACTTTAGGATATTAGGAGAAAGGGTGCACCAATTTTGAAGTTAGGAGAAAGGGTGCCAATTGTATTAATCCACATCCCTGGTGCATGTAAGCCTTAGTAAAGTCATGTTCCCTGTTGGGGTCCTTCGGAAAGCACAGGTTCACTGGGTGTCCTTGGAGAGTGCATGCATGCCCTCAAAGTAAAGCACTGTTGCTTATTTCTTTTGGGTTTCAGGTAAAAATAATTGGGATATTAATTATACCCAGATCACTAACGACTTTGCTATTAAAAAGTAATTGCAATTTTTCTTTCTGTTCCATATGCTGAGAAGTAAGACCATGTTAGGAAATGCCCATGAAAATTCAGAAGAACTTGAAAGAGCCAGAGAGCTGAAGGAGAAGGAAGCCGCATTGTAAGTTTCTTCTCAGTTTTTAAGAGCAAGATACTGGGGGGTGGAGGTAGGGGGTAGAGAAAAAAGTGCAACAACGAATGAATGGAAATACAAAATCTCTGTAAATTTCATTAAAATTGATAAAATATTTTTTTTTAAAAAAAAAGAGCAAGATACGATGTGGAATGGCTTTGCCCACTCTCTGGGTCTCCACTTGGGCCAGCCTCCATCTTTTGGAGTTGAACTGAAAGTCTTGATAAAGTGATATGTATGGGTTTGCCTTGAATGAAGAAGAAATCATTCTTTGAATACATCCTTTAGGTCTGCTGATTTTACTCAAGATACTCTTTCTAAAATTGTAAACATTGCTGTAACCATCACTGTGATTGGCCAGCGGGTTTTGGGACCAAGTGTTCAAAGCATCTTTTCTGATTCTGCCATGTTTCCATATGTCTGAGAGGACATAGTACTTCCACTCAGAGAATTAAGTCAGCTCCTCTAGTGTGACCTGGAGAAAAAGATTTAGTAGCTTCTAGAAATTCATTATGAATTGACCTGCAAAGAGAAAGATCAGCAGTCTGAATCCACTAGGTGCCTCTCTGGAGATGGGCAGTCTCCTTACATAAATGTATCACCTCAGAAACTAATGGAGGCTTGAAATGAAGCAGAATTGACTCAGGGACAGTGGGTTTGGGGTTTAGGAGCATGGATGGTAAATAAAGGAAGGAAAGAGACTTGGCTGCTAACTGAAAGGTAGATATTTCAAACCTAACAACAACACTGTGAAAAGACCTGCGGGAGGAAATCTCCGTAAAGATTGTTTTTGTTGTTGTTGTTTTTGTGTACCATTGAGTTGGAACCGACCTGTAGCTGACCTTCCAGTGGGTTTTCAAAGGCAGTTAATTCACACAAGAGGAAATTGTCCATCCTTCTCCAGCACAGCAGCTGGTGCCTTTGAGATTGCAGTGCTGCTGTTTACCACTAACCCACCAGTGCTCCCTCCCATAAAGAGCCTAGAAAATGCCATGGGTCTCTCTGCTCTGTTGTATAAGGGTCTCTCTACTCTGTTGTACAAGGGTCTCTATGAGCTGGAGCTGACTTGACTCCATGTTCATTCTCTCCTATGTATCATCTGTGACCAGCTCCCTACAAACAGTTATTCCTCTCCCGCCTCATCCTACCTGCTTCTCTTTGGGTTTTTTCATTTGTTTGTTTTTAATATTCATTTATTTGTGTACATTTTCCTCCTGCTCCCTCCATTCTGCTTCCCCTAGTCCTCTTTGCAAAGCATCTCTTAAGCCAGATTGTTGTCATACATACAATGCCTAATCATATATTCCTTTTAAATAGTTCTTTCTCTCATCTGTTCCAATGCAGTATTCATTATAGATTCACTCCTTTCCTATTCTCCCCCTAACCCCCATGTCAGTCCAGTTGAGCAGTAGTGTTACACAGGCACCTGCGTCTCTTTGGCCTCTGATGGAGACATAGCTGTTGTTGAGATAGGGACTGGTGTGATTGACATGTCCTGTGTGTATGTAGGGGCACAACATGGGGAATGCCTGATGCCTCGTCCTCCAGGAGTCCTCTCCGCCCTTTAGGTCACAGTGATGCGTGTACACTGCCCGGTGCAATGGCTGCTACTAGACAAGTGCTCAGCAAATGTTGAAAAATAGAACAAATGAACAAACTTGTGCTCTGTCCCTGTGGGACCCAGTGCTCTGGAAGGATACACACACGATCATTAACTTATTTGTACGTTTCCCCAGTTGTCCAAAACCAAACAAAAACCATCAAGTCAACGCCGACACTTGGGAACTCATGTGCCCCAGAGTAGGAATGTGCTCGCCAGGGCTTCAGTGGCTGGTGTTTCAGAAGTAGATTGCCAGGCCTTTCTCCCAACCTGCTGCTGGACACAGTCTAACTTCTAGCTTTTCCATTAGCAGCAAATGCCACTGGCATCATTAGGGAAGAACAGGGCCTGTAAATCACATGGGTGGCACTAAAATGATTGTTGATAATTTTTTTTTACAGTGCTTAAGCAGAGATTTAAAAAAAAATGAAAATACCCCTGTAGCCAGTTATAATAACACAAGCATTTTTCCGAAACCCAGCTTACATTTATCAATATATCTCCAACGCTATATTTACTTTTTGAATCTACTGATGTGCTCAAGTCAGAGCTGTCATTATTACCCAGTTACAGCAGTGCTTTGGATCACATGATTTCTTCTGCTCATGCTACAATATGTGTTATTGCTGCCAATGTTTTTATAGTCACTGATTTTGTCAAATTTTTTTGTGTGTGTTTTAAGTATACTATTTTGGTAATTACTTGTAGAGGGGCTTCAGGCCTTTTGTTTATAGGGTCACAATAAGTCATGCTGGACTCGAAGACAAACAACAATATATGTCACTTTTTGAGAATTAACTAGTAATTAGAGTAAAGAGGAAAATTTTTTTAATATTTTTAAATTTTTTTTATTTTGTATGTGTACAGTCAAATTGGGTCTGACTGCTACAGGAGGAGATTACCCCTCCTTCTCCAACAGAGCATCTGGTGGATTCTAACTGTGTACCTATGGAATTACAGTGCTGCTTCTTGCCACTAGGCCACAAAGAAGAGAAAATTTTTTTGTTTTGTTTTGGTTTTGGGGTTTTTTTTTATTATTATTTTGTGTGTGTACCATCAAATTGGATCTAACTGGTACAGAGGAGATTGCCCCTCCTTTTCCAGCAGAGCATCTGGTGGAGAAAATTTTTTAGAACCTGCTCATTTTGCTAATAATATAACTAATAATGTTATAGTTCAATGTAGAAAGATTTTACAAAACAATTTTGTTCTTAGTATACATATAATCTAAGAAGTACTGTATTTAAGCATTTTGCAGCAATATTTTGAGTTGTGATGCTGGAGAAGAATACTGAATATCCCATGGACTGCCAAAAGAACAAAGAGATATGTCTTGGAGAAATTGTAGCCATAGTGTTTTTTTCTGGCAAAGATGGTGAAGCTTCGGGAGCTCTGGTGGCCTAGTGGCAAGAAGCTGCGCTGTAATCCCAAAGGCACATGGTTTGAGATGACCAGCAGCTTTGCAGGAGAAGGATAGGCAGTTTCCTCCTGTGTGATTAACAGACTCTGAAAACTCACCGGAGGGTCAGCTATGGGTCAGTTCCGACTCGACAGTACACAACAACCACAGATAGACAAGGCTATTTCTTGGAAAGGGATATCCTGCTTGGAAAGATGGAGGGTCAGTGAAGGATAGGCAGACCTTAATTGACACAGACATTTCAGCAGTGGCCCCTAGTACGTAAGAGGTGTTGAGAATGGCACAGTATAGGTCAGGGTTCACATCAGCTGTTTACAGGTTGGTTATGAGTCTAACTCAAGTCAACATGAGATTCAACAGCAAGGACATCCTGTGGGAGTTCTGGTGGCGTAGTGGTAAGAAGCCACACTCCAATCTCAAAGGCACTCTGTTCAAATCCACCAGCTTCTCTGTGGGAGAAGGATGGGCATTGTCCTCTCGTGTCATTCTCTCCCTCTGAAACCCCCCTAGAGGGTCAGTTCTGAGTCAGTTCCGACTCAATGGCACACACCCCACATTCTATGGTAAAGGGAGTTTTATTATGAAGTCTATAGGGAGTTGCACTGCTAACCTGAAGGGGAGATCTCTTTGGTGGTTCAAATTCACCCCCAGTTACTTGGAAGACAGATGAACCATCTCTTCCACTGCACTTTATATAGCCTTGGACTCATGCTGGAAGGCCGACTATGAGTTGGTTTCAATTCTTCAACAATGAGTTTTTAAAATTTGATTCTATGCTTAAAATTGATACTAAACTTAACTGTGGATTCTATGTGTACACGAGGAGATCTCGGGTGGGGGAGGTGACAGTGTGAGTTACTGCACTGGGTGACCAGCCCTCATGACACTGCTCTTTGCAGCCTGGGATTCTTGCCATTTGTGGGAGAAAGCCTTTTCCCTGTGGCCTGATGCTCCCTGTCCAGTCAAAGGCCTTCTGACCTCCCACTGGGCTTTTCTTGTGCCCAGGCCATTGTGGAAGGATTGAGTTCTGTGTCCCTTTTCAGATTTGAACCAGGGTGGAGGATAGGAAGAAACACAAACTGTGAGTGAAGCAGAATTACTGCCAAGGTTTTTACTCATAACCTCAAATTTAAATTGTGATATTTAAATATTATGACATTTAAGCCACCTCAACATACCCCTTTTCCCACTGAACTACAAGCTTGCCTTGAGCTGGAGAGCTCTGTTGTGCAAGAATAGGTAGTTATCCCTTCCTCGATATGTGCCCATGACCTCAGGTCCTGCTCAGGTACCAAAATTGCTAGTTAGGGCCCTATAAGGAGAAAAGATAGATGTTCTCAGTTAAAATGTGAAATTCATATTCCCTTAGAATCCATGCAGAAGTTATTAAAATTCTGTATCACTGGTGTTATTTCTAATAATACTGTTAGTAGTATGGTTCAGCTATGTTCTTGGTAACCCTGTAAGACAATTCCAAATGCTTCTCAAATTCCACACACCCCACTTACCAGCCCACATCTAAAATATAATCCACTGAGAAGTTAGATATTGTGTATCTACCATAATACTACCATCAAGGACTCTCCTTCATAGGGTCGCTATGAGTCGCCTGCGACTCGACGGCACTTAACAACAACAACAACAACAACAACCATAATACTATTCCTATTGTATTATTATATAAAGGGATGAATTGAGTTGAAAGTAAGTCACAGCAGGATACTAGACATAAGAGTTTAAATATTAAAAAGAACTTCTTTATAAGATTGTTGTTGTGTACTATCAAGTAGGAACTAACCCATTGCTGACCCTCCAGCGGTTTGTCAGAGACCATTAATCACACAGGAGGAGACTGCCCATCTTTCTCGCACAGTGCAGCTGGTGGATTTGAACCGTATGCCTTCAGGATTGCAGCACAGCTTCTTAACACAGCATGATTAGAAGGATTCTACTAATAATTTCATTTACTGTGGAACATTTTACAGCTAAATTATGTGATGTGCAGCCATCTGGTTTATGACTTCATTTTTTTTTTCTGCAAAGAAATGATCTATTTTAATTGTATCCATGTGTTCTGACCATGGCAAGAGCAGTTAGGAAATTAAAGGATGCATTTCATTGCATCAGTCTGCTATAAAAGATCTCTTTAACTTGCTCAAAAGCAGAGATACCACCAGGAGCCTGACTTGTGCTATGCTATTTTCTGTCACCTCGTACACATGTGAAAGCTGAGCAGACTAAGGAAGGTTGAAGAAAAAGGAATGCTTTCAAAGAGTCATGCAGTTGGTAAACAATACTCAATATCCACTGACTGCCATAAGAATAAAACTGTCTTGGAAGATACAGCCAGAGTGCCTTCTAAGGCCAGGGTAAAGGGAATGTGTCTCCCACACTTTGGATATCAGGAGAGACCAGTCCCTGAAGACCATCACGCTTGGTCAAGTAGAGGGTTAGTGAAAAAAGAGAACGACCTTTTGGAACCATCTCAAGGGTATCTAACAATAATGAGTGATTTACTCTTTTATGCCAAGAAAGAGATAAATCCATTGAAAAGATGGTTGAATAAATTTTAGACAATATTGGTTGGAAGGTCACTTTGAGGCATAGACTTGCATTTACAATCTGAAAACATTGGTTTGAGTATGCAATGCATCACTTTGCCTTACAAAGGACACATTATCCCAGCGGCATAGGAATAATGCTGACATTCTGGAGCTTTTCTCACCTCTAAGCTCTCCCATTTTTATTCCATGGGATCATCCCGTTCTCCTACGGCCTGACAGTACTCGTTAAATCCATGAAGGCTTGTGAGGAAGAGCTGGGAGCTTTTTAGCAAAATGATGCTGCAGCTCTTCTTTTACATTTCCAATGATTTTGGCGTTTAAAGGGAAATTACAACTGTCAGAAAGGGCATTTTAAAATGACTTATTTTATCTCTAGCTTATCTGTCTAAAGTATATCTGATATTAAGTGCTTTTTTTCTACGTATGTGGTCACTAAATTCATCCTTTATACTTTAAAATTACTTATCCATTCCTTTTCTTCTAATTTATTCTTAAGTTCTTTTTTTCCTTACACTTTCATTTTTCAGCCTTTTAATTTAGTCTCCAAAAGCCAGCTGACTCCACTGAGATTTACCCTGTTGCAATGTTCTGACCATTTCTTTTGAGGCATTTTAAATGGCTCTTGAATATGGCTCTCTAACAATTATTATTTATTATTTGGTGGGTCGTGGTACTAGGGATATTGTAGCTGATGTTAGATGGATCTTAGCTGAAAGCAGAGAATACCAGAAGAATGTCTATCTGTGTTTCATTGATTATGCAAAGGCATTTGACTGCGTGGATCATAACAAACTGTGGCTGACTCTGAGAAGAATGGGAATCCCAGAACGTTTAATTGTGCTAATGCGAAACCTATACTTGGACCAAGAGGCAGTCGTCAGAACAGAGCAGGGCAACACTGCATGGTTCAAAATTGGGAAGGGTGTACGTCAGGGATGTGTCCTGTCTCCATACCTTTTCAAACTGTATGCAGAGCAGATTATCCGAGAGGCTGGGCTCTATGAGGAGAGGCATGGCGTTAGGACTGGTGGACGATCTATCAACAATCTGCGTTATGCAGATGACACAACCTTGCTCGCTGAAACTGAGGAGGACCTCATACACTTACTGCAGAGGGTCAAGGACTGCAGCCTTCAATATGGACTGAGGCTCAATGTTAAGAAGACAAAAATTCTCACCACTGGACCAATCGGTAGCATCAGGATGGATGGCCAAGAGATTGAGATTGTTCACAGCTTCAGTTTGCTCGGCTCCACATCAACACTCTTGGCACCAGTAGCTAGGAAATAAAAAAATGTATTGCGATGGGAAAATCTGCGGTTAGGGACCTCTCCAAAATACTGAAGAGCAACAGTGTCTCTCTGGAGACTAAGGTGCGCCTGATACAGGCCATAGTTTTTGCAATCACTTGTTATGCATCAGAGAGTTGGACAATGACTAGGGAGGATAGAAGGAGAATTGACACCTTTGAGCTGTGGTGCTGGAGAAGAGTATTGAATGTACCATGGACTGCCAAGAAAACAAACAGATGCATCGTAGAGAGGATTAAACCAGGCTGCTCCTTGGAGGCAAGGATTCTGGGGCTTCGTCTGACATACTTTGGACATGTTGTAAGGAGAGACAGGTCTTTAGAGAGGGACATCATGCTGGGTAGAGTGGAGGGATAGCGCAGGAGGGGAAGACCCTCTATGAGGTGGATTGATTCAGTGACTGGGGTACTCGGGATGGGTGTGTCAGAGGTAATGAGATTGGCACAGGATAGAGCATGGTTTAGGGCTGTTGTACATAGGGTCGCTATGAGTCGCAAACGACTCGACGGCACATAACAACAAACAACAACAATCTTGATGCCAGGCAGGATAGAAAAACCAAAAACTTAATCAACCAAAACAACCTAATCATCCTTTTGTTCTTGAGGATCTCTTTTAGGTTGAAATAAATCCTATTTTTTCTCTCCTTCACTCACTCTTTCTTTGCACATATGCTCATCTATACAATTCACAAGACTGTATTACTGTAGGCTTTCTAAACAAATAAAAAAATTCCCAAAGTACTTTGTAAAAAATGCATATTGTTGTGCTGTGGCACCATCAAGCTGACAACTCACAGCAGATGACCAGAGCCTCGCCCTGCCTTCACCATCTTCACAAGAGGCTCCAGCGCATTGGTACAGTCGCAGTGTCAGCACGTCTGGTCCTCTTTTCCGTGGACCCTCTGCTTTTCCAAACATGATGCCTTTTTCCAAGGTGTAGAACCTCCTGACCACATCTCCAAAGTATGTGAGACCAAGTTTCACCGTCCCTGCCGCTAAGGAGCATCCATGTTTCACTTCCTCCAAGACTGATTGATTAGTTCTCTGAAGAGTCCCTGGTGTACTCTTCTCCAATTCCACAATTCCAAGTCGTCAGATCTTCAGTCTTCCTTCACTGCCCAACTTCCACATGCAAACGTCCATAAAAAGAGGTCATTTCTGTGGATGGTCTTTTTCTGCTCAGAGATGTTTTCAAATACTCCTACGTTTTTATATTTACAGATGCTTAGAGTTTCTGCTTCAGAATGATGCAAATCCATCCATCCGGGACAAAGAAGGTTACAATAGCATACATTATGCTGCTGCCTATGGTCACAGACAGTGTCTGGAGTTGGTGAGTAGGTTTGTTTTGTTTTCTCTAGTGCTGTGTGAGGACACACATGCGCGCGACACACACACACACACAACTGATCCAAACCTTTCAGCAAATGCTCTCACTGCCTCCTTGAAGATCCCTGTAATAAGCAAGTAAGCAGCTTTGTTTTGTATGCTCTGTAGATCTCTTCTGTCTCTGCTCATTCTAAACTCAGAGCTGGTGATTATCTCTTCCACGTTAACTTGCTGGGATGTCAGCCCTGTTTATATTTTAAAGATGGTTCATAAAAGCTCCCATCTCATTGCTGTTGAGTCGGGACCAACTTCTAACTGACCCTCTAGCGAGTTTTGAAAAGCTATTGGTCCCCCAGGAGGAACTTTTCCATCTTTCTCCTGTGGCGCAGTTGGAAGGTTTGAGCTGCCTGCCTTTGGGTTGTTAGTGACACTCCTTAGCACTAGGCCACCAAAGTTCCACTTAAAGACAGTTAGGACGTATCTAATAAGCGTAATATATATTTCATGAGGCAAACTTGGCATCTTGATGCTCAGTAACTCACTTAAAGTTGCCTTAGGGTTTTGCCGTTGTGATGTGGGCACTGACAGTGGCTAGCCATTCATCTTCCCTTTCAGAATCAGCTGATCCATGTGAGAAAGACGGGCAATTTCCTCCCATTACGATTTACAGTCCTATTAGTTTGCCCATTTACATTTTACAAGTCTTTTGTTTTGTGACGTTAGTGGAAACCTTGTAATGTGACAGCACTCTCCTAAGTTCCCCCCCCCCCACTCCTCCACTTCACTGCACCCATCTTGCCTTCCTGCCTCTGAACTTCGTTTTTAGACAAATGCTGCCCTTTCTATTTCATGCTCCTCTTCTGAGGAGCATTCTTTTCACATGTTCACATCATGGGGCTGTTAATTGTTTGGGTGAAAGATGATCGCTGAAAGTGTTCTTTGGGTTCCGGGTTTAAAGGCTGTCCAAGGAGGTTGGTTGTCTGGTGGTAAAAAGCTGTGCTGCAATCCCAAAGGTGCATGGTTCAAATCCACCAGCTGCTCCATGGAAGGAGAATGGGCATCTTCTCTTGTGAGATTTACTGCTGAGAGGGTCAGCTATGGGTTGGGTCTGACTAAAATGGCACACAACAACAACAACAAGCAGCGCTGTGGTTCCATAGCTTCTCTCAGACAATTAAGGCCAGTCATTTTTATTATTTTGAATTTAGTTCTGCATTTTCTCTATCATTCTGTGTAGAACCTCCAATTTGATCCTGATCACAGCAGAGAGAGTATAGGTCTTCTGTTCTCAAGCCAGAGGTTGGTGGACTGTTTTGGGGAATGGTAAACTTTATCTTGTTTGACCTGTTGGTGGCTTTTTTCTTGTTTTCTTTAGATTAAATTCTATCATGGTTCCTATTTAGTTATTGTGACTGTATAAGAAATCCCCACAATACCCTAAAATTTAGTAATGTCTTTAGTGATGCTGTTTAGAAATTAAAGACAAATTTTTAAAAAGTACAACAATGAATGAATGGAAATCCAAAATCTCTATAAATGTTCATTAAAAGTAATAAAATGAAATAAAACACACACACACACACACACACACACAAAGACATTAACGACAATTTTTTTTTTGTTGATTCACATTTCATGAAATGGGGTTACGCAGGACCTTACAAGAAGATACATATATGATTTCTCTTTCACAGGGGAAGCACCAAGTTTTTACTTGGTAAAGCAAACCAGGGTAAATGGTTTCACATCAAAGAAAAATGCCAAAGATAGACAAGAATTTGTCAAATGACAAACTTTCTTTAACATAAATTCCTGGTCGAACATTAATTCTTTAGGCCGCAGCTCAACTAGCCAATTTGTCTGAAGCATACTACCTAAACATTTTGATGTGTCTTGAGATTGGTTGTTGATCAAGTAAATTCTAGCTGAAGTCCTTAAATGGTAAAAGCAAATTCATTTATTTAAAAAAGAAGTGAAAGTTGAGTAAATGCTGATGTGAAAGCCTTGTGTTACTATTAAGACATTTATAGCTGACCTATTTTTCTATCTAGATACAAATTTGCAAAGAATGCTGACAGAAATACTATGAAAAAGTCTCAACAATTGAAAATTTAATTTGGGAATATAGATGAGAAAGAAAGCTTGAGATATATATATATATATATAGTCTCTGACTACAACACTGTAGTTTCTAGCTTCATTTAACATTATCAGTTCTATTTCCCGATTTTCTACTAATTAAATCATCTCTTCTTGAATCCAGCTGTGTAAATATTTTTAACAAGCAGTAAGCAATTCTTCATCTAGGCGAAAAATTTCATTTATTGTTTTTTTATTTGAAAGCTGAATGACTTTAGTTAGTAAGATAGAAATGAAAATCCCAACTTAATCCAAGACAGAGTTTTGTTTAAATCTGAAGTCACGTTATTTAGATGCACCAGAACCTCACTCTAAAAAAACAACAAACCCATTACCTCTATGGTGACTGATAACAGTAGAGTTCACTGAATATCATTTCATTGTTCTTGTGGATCAACAATTCATGAGTGACTTCACAGAGCAATCTGGTTTTCATGTTGTTGTTTATTGGTCCAGTTTGCTTTCTTGTTGTTGAGTGAAATCTGTACTGAATGCTGTAGTGGTTGAACTGCTTCCCTAAGTGCTTCAAGTTTTCTTCTATTTCTGTAAGCAAGGCTGTGCCATCTGCATATCACAAGTTGTTAATGAGTCTTTCTCTGATCCTAAAGTCATGATCTTCTTCATGTAACCCAGCTTCTCAGATTATCTGTTCAGCATCAAGATTGACTAGGGACAAAATACAAACCTGATGCACATCTTTCCTGATTTTAAACCACACGGTATCCACTTGTTCTGTTCAAATGACTGCTGCTTGGTTTATGTACACATTCCACGTGAATACTATTAAGTGCTCTGGAATCTCCATTTCCCCTAATATTAACTTCATCAATGAAGCTTTTCTCTATCCACATCATTAAAGTTAACTCTGCTTTGGAGAAAAAGCTATATTTTTTAAATTTTAAATTGATTTTCATGAAAGTTTTAAGAGACTTTGGATTTCCATTCATTCATTGTTGCACTTTTCTCCCTGACCACCCCTCCCCCTAATTTGCTTTTCTTTTTAAAAAGTAAAAGAAAAAATTCTTTCATTGTCATTTAATCCCTCCCCCCAACACCACTGCACTATGCTACCTACATTCTGGACTCCTGTCATAACAATAATAACTAATAACGTCAGTCCTGTTTTATAACAGTGGCATTATGCCATATTTGTCTTTTTGTGACTTCGATATTTCACTCAGCATGATGTCCTCCAGGGTCATCCATTTTGTGTAATATATCATGAGTTCCTTGTTTTTCTATGCTGTATAGTATTGCATTGTGTGAATATATCAGAGCTTCTCTATCCATTCGTTTGTTGATGGGTACTTGGGTTGTTTCCAGCTCTTTGCTATTGTGAACAAAATTGAAATTAACTATTTTGAGTGCCTTCCAAATTGAGGACCTTATGTTCTGGCAGTAGTGCTGATTTTCAGTGGCCCCTTATTCCAGAAATGGAAGGCCCTCTGAAACCTGTCCACTGTGGGTGACAGCATGTGAAAGACTGATGACATAGTTTCCAGCATTAGAACACACAAGCTACTAGTACAACACACTGACAGATGCGTGGTGGAACAGCAACCCTAAACACTCTAAATACATTTTTTCCTCTTAAATTTGTTATTTTTATGTGTTTACTTGTGTTTTATTGATTATGCAAAGGCATTTGACTGTGTATATCATAACAAATTATGGATGACATTGAGAAGAAAGGGAATCCCAGAACACTTAATTGTGCTCATGGGAAACCTATACCCAGACCAAGGATTTTGCCCTTTAGAAGCTAGGTTGGAGTAGAAAAGAATGGATGGCTATCAGAAGCAACTTACCCATGCAGTTGGTGAAGTTTCTCTTTAAGGCTTCCTCCCATCTACTTAAGCAATTTCTGTGATTGTGCATATTATTAAATATGTGTCATTAATTTTGATGAATACTTGACTCTGATATTTAGCTTGCTCTGTCCTTACTTCACATTCATGGTTTGTGGCTCATGTCCATGACTATAAACTTGGAAATTTATAAGTCATACTATGTCATGCGTTCACTCTATTTTTCTTGAATAAAGTAGGAATAGAAATCACTATTTTCACTCTCTCTCCCAATGCAAACTCATATTTTGCATAGTAAGATCTGTGAGCATGAAACTTCTGAAAAGTGCTATGAATCTTTTAGTCTTGACAGATAGTTAAGGATCAGAATTCTACCAAGCCTACCCATGTAGCCAGGGTTCTGGTCTGGTTATGATCAAAGATGTCCGTACTAGGTCTGCAAACAAAAATCTCCGCTCGAGGTGTGTGGAGAGCTACAATCAGTCATATTCAATTGGACTTAAAATATCAAAGCAGAGTAGAGGAAGCTTAGCCAATAAAGTGTCTTGTGTTTGAACAAAATGTGTGTTGGAGTGGAGGAAGGGAACTGGCAAAGGAGACCTCTAAGCCTCCTTTTCCTTCTATTTGGAATATATTTTAAATGATGCTGAGGAGAAAAAAAAAATCCGAGAATTATGTCCTTATTTGGAGTGTGTGGGTTTATATTGGCATACTGTTTATCTTTAATAATATTAACATTTTGTCTGTGAATATAAAGATCTTTGTGGCTTTGTTGTTGGAATGGAAAAATATATGTGCCAATGTAACTACACAGAGCGCCCACAGAAATTTAGAGAGATTGTTTAAAAATCTCAGGCCTGTGATTAAATGCAGTTGAAGATTTTGCTATGCCAAATCATTTGAAATTTGGCTGCTTCCCCAGGACCATTTCCCCTTTTCACTGTTGAACTTCAACTTTGAGTGTATATGGGGGTAACAAATGCTCCTGCATATGTGATTTTGGAGTTCCTAGGATTCTCTGAAAATACAGTGAAAATGTCTATATTTTGGACATCTG